GATCTGCAAAGAGACCACAAAGAAACCACGCAAGCTTATTTCTGCACTGATGCTCAGAAATTAAGAAAACCTTAGCTCTTAGCGGAATTTAAACTGATCTGTGCAAAGTCAGGTTAATAACACGCTAAGAATAGATAGACCAGGGATAGCAGCACTGAACACATTTAAAACAGAGTTTGGCCAAGCTGTTAGAAGGAAGATATTCTAAAGCACAAATGTTGGACAGATGGATGGTGCAAGATGTTACTAAGTCTCAAAAGGATACAGAAAAGTATAATATGTGGCATGAGTTCTTAATTAATAAGGGGCCTCTTTTTTCCTGAAGGAAACATTCTTTTCCAAATTCTTGCTCCTGCTTTAATGGGCTAATATGTGATCCATAGGTATTAAGATATAAAATTACATAATGATCTTAATATTTACTGACTGCTTCCTCTGTGACAGGCAATTTAGCCTTCACAACTACCTTGTGAGTACTGTTTTCACAAAAAAGGTTAACTGGTGTTCAAAGTAGTTAAGAAATCTGTCCAAGCCCCCCACACCCTGAGCCTCTTGCCTGCTAAGCTATGTGCATCTCAGCATTCCAGAGAGGGGAAGGCTCTCAGCCATCATCTTACTCTGGAGGAGAAGAAACTGAGGTCCATGGGGGAAGAGGCTTGCCCAAGGCCAGGGTACAGGTAGTGGCCAAGGTGCGCCTGGAACTCAGACATCTACTCCCAGTGCATGTTCATCTACCCTAATACACTTCTTAGGCTTTGGGTATAGAGCAGGTGTTTCAGACAATATTGAATTGAATTAAAATGGGCTTTTATGTGAACAATTTTGTAACAGACTTCCAATAATTAGGTTTCTTTCTGAAATCCATACCTCCCAAACCTGAATATTCACTTCTCAGTTTTTGAACTATCCTCATGCCTGAGCACTACCTGCCAATTCCATAGTTTGTGGAAGACGGATTACTATGATATCACTTATTTTAACTTCTTCTAAAGAAAAAAATGTGTGAAAGCACAGGTTTAGTGGTTTTCTTCTAACACATATTTTGACATGTAATGCTAATCATGTTACTCCTCTCATTAAAAGCATTTAATTTGTTTTTAGAATGAAGGCTCAAGTTCCTAACCTGGGCATATGGGAGGAGGGGTCTGCAATCTGGCCCCAGGGACCGTGAAGCATCATCAGGAGTCATGCTGGTTTTCTGCTGTCTACTCTAATGAACCCTGGCTCTCACAGCCTCTGCACACGCTTTTCCCTCTGCCTGGACATTTTCCCCTGAGCAACTCCTTTGTAGAAATCGGCTTAAAGGCCACTTCTTTGGGGGAGGCCTCCCCCAGCCCCAAGATAGGCCTTCGAGATTCTTGTCATGCTTGTACTTACTTGAGCACTGTAATCTTGCCCCACACGTCGTGGGCTCCAAGAGGGCAGGGACAGCATTGTTTGTTTATCAGTCTGGGTGTAGTCCTCAGTAGCCAGCCTGCAGGTGCCAGGTGTCCTACTTGTTCATTAAATAAATGAGAGAAGAGAGAAAAACCTATGCAATACCCATAAGAGATATCAGAAAGCACAACTGTTCTATACATCTGTGATTTCAAAGTTTATTACTGTTTTATATCCAAATATAGTAACAGAAGCCTGTAATGATGTCCCCAAGTTATTGACAAAAGGCTCGTGCTGCCAGAGAAAGTGGCACTGAAATTCATTTGAAAACTAAAAATGGTCACACTGAAAAAAATCTTACAATGGGAACAGTAACTGTGAAAAAACAAAACACTTCGCAAAATACCTATTGGTGTCAGATAGTGTTACTCTACTTTGAATTAATGTAAGCTGTATTTATGAATTTTTATATTACAAATGGGTACATTTTATTTTTCCCTATCTTAGTCCCCAGGAGGTTCACGGGTAATAAAACAAATGAATTTCTTTCTTCATTAGCCTGTCATTGCCACTTTCAAATGGCTCCTTGCCCATACACTCCAATATTTTTCTTATAATAAGTGATAAGGCCTTCCTTCAGCCTTCTCATTTAACTGCCTCCTTGTGTTCCAAGAGACAAGTAGTGTATTATACCAGGGAAGGAGGTAAATTGAGGCAAAGATATTAAATGATTTCTTTAAGTTCATACAATTAATCACTATTCACCCATCCATCTATATCAATGATGCAACAAATATTTAATGATTGCCAACTTGGTGCCAAGCTTTGTTTTTGTTGCTGGGAGTACAATAGGAAATAAGACAGATAAGGTCCCTGTTCTCATGTAGCTGATGTTCTACATGGGGGATATAGATAATAAACAAATAAACAAATAAATTAATCTCAAATAGTGCTATAGACTGAATGTTTTTGTCCCCAAAATTCACATGTTGAAACCTAATCCCCAACATGATGGTATCAAGAGTGGGCCTTTGGGAGGTAATTAGGTCATAAGGGCGGAACCCTCACAAATGGGATTCGTGCTCCTATAAGAGAGAGAGGTCTCTCAGTCCTTTCTACCATGTGAAGACACAGTGAGAAAATAGCCATTTGTGAAGGAGAAAGCAAGTTCTCACCAGACATCAAATCTGTTGGCACCTTGCTCTTGGACTTCCCAGCCTCCAGAACTGTGAGAAATAAATTTCTACTGTTTAATCTACCCAGTTTACAGTATTCTAACAGCCCAAATGGACTAAGACAAATAGTGACAAACATTATGATAAAAATAAAAGTTATTATTAGAGAGTTATTTAACCCTGACTCTAACCTCAATGTTGGAAGCACCTAATACTGTATAGTTAGGGAAGCCTCTGAAATGCTGACAAATAAACTGAGATCTGGATGCCAAGAATCCAATAAAGGGAACTTTGGGGGGAAATCCTTCTAGGCAAGGGGAACAACAAAACGAAAGGTTTTGAGGTGGGAACAAGCTTGGTGTGTTTGAGGAATAGTTATGTCAGGGTGGCTGGACGTCATGAGTGAGGTGGAGAGAGCTGGGTGATGAGATCCGACACACAGAAAGGAGCCAGCTCATACCAGGTCTTGTAGGCCATGGTAAGGAGTATGGATTTTCGTTTAGAATTTTCTTGTAGTGATGGGAAGCACTGGAGAATATAAGCAGAGATGACATAATGTAATTTATGCTTTTGAAAGTTCATTCTGGTTGCAGTGTGGACAAGAGTGAAAGCAAGGTCAGGGGAGCCATCAAATAGTGTAGGCAAGAGATGATGTTGTCTTGGACTAGGATGGTGTCATTGGAAGTAGAGAGCAGTGGATGGATTAGATATGTTTCCTGAAACAAGACACCAGGACTTGCTGACCTTTTGAACATGTAGAGTGAGGCAAATTAATCAAGGATGGCAAGTTTTTGGCTTGAGCAAATGAGTAGATGGTATTGTCATTTACTGAGTAAAGGTGATGGGGGGTAGACACTGATGTATCTTTTTGTTATCAGAGCAGGGAATCGAAACTTCTGTTTTGGACATATTAATTTTGAGATGCCTTTTAGAGATGCCTGGCCAAACAGAGATGCTAAGCAGAGAGGTGTTGGATCCACAAGTCTGAAAGAGAGCATTTAGAGTTGGAAATATCCATTTGGGAGTCTCCAATTAAAGATCGTATTTACAACTTTGAAAGTGGGTGATGTCACCAAGGAAAAGAGTGCTGGTGGAGAAGGGGCAGCCAATGCCTCATCTCTAAGTCCCACACTTACCTATGGTCATGGTCATACATTATAGCATGACAATTTCATCCCTCTTATTCCATTAAACATTTGCTGTCTCTTCTATATGAAAGGTGTTACCCTAAAAAATAAGAGGCTATAAAGATGGGCAACTCTCAAGTTGCTCACAAACAGGTAAGAAAAGAGTAACAGTATAAAAAGTAGAATATGTGAATGCACTTCCAAGAATGTGGAGGGGATTCTCAAAAGATAAACTTGGGAAGACAGGTTGAGAGCTGATCATGGAGGGTCAAGAAATTGGATTTTCTTTTTTCCGCTTAGATGATAGGACACTATTGAAGATTTCTGAGTTCCATAATCATATTAGCACTTTTCCTTCTCCATCCATGGTTTATTCTTTTGCATCTAGTTGAAATCTCAGCCCATCTACAAAGTATCGCACACCTTCTGCTACCACTCCTTTTTAACCTTTAAGTCCTCCTGTTTATAATGCTCATCCATTTTAGCAATTGAGGACACACTGTTTCTTTCAGACGGTTTATTGTAGGAACATCTTTTTAATTGGTCTATGACTTAACTCCACAGTTTGGGCTCAGGGAGAGGAACATAAGCTCTCGAGCAATGCCTGTTGCTTCAAGTGTCATCTCTTCAGGAAATTCTTCTCTGACCTCTAATTAGATCAGGTTCCATTGTTCCAGACTCTCATAAAATTATTTTCCAGCACACTTCTCCATTTTCAATTAAACATGTCCGACTATTTGAATAGGATATGTATTCCCAGAGGCTGAAATGCCCATAGAGCAGAGGCTACCTCTGATTTTGTTCATGGTAGTATCCCTAGTTGGTGTGCAACAAACATTTGTTGAGAAATTGAACGAATAGGGGTGGCCTTAGGTATTCAAGGAGGCCAAAGGGCTTAAGTGGAATAGCCTCCAACAAGGTCCAACTGTTTGCCAAACATTTCTGAAAGAGCAAAGAAATTCACATAGCAAAGCTATCTCCCAAAGGGAGTTACTCCTGATAAACTCCTCCTCTGCTTAGGAAAAATTTCCCAGAGGGTGGCTCTTCTATTGGGAAAGAGGTCCCTTGAAGGCTAATTTATCATCACTTAGGACACTTGAGTCCTCCCTTTTGCACAGCTGAGCAGGAGGCAAAGCAGAGTGTTCCCAACTGTCAAAAAGTATGAATAAGCACTCTGCCAGCAGCCACGGATCTTCTAGGCAGATGGAGCGACATATGTATATTTACATATATATTTCCTAATCAATAGGTTCCAGCAAAAACATAAAAACTCAAGAACATAATTGGAATTTAAGGGGCTCTGAAGGAGTTTAATTCCTTAAAGAAACTTAGCACAATTGTTTTTGGGTTTTTTTTTTTTTTTTGCTGCAGGCGACTGCAGGAGAAAACAAATAGCATTATCTGAATGATCAAACTTTCTTCCCTTAATATGTAAATCTCTTCTTCCAGATTAGGCACTCCTAGTATTTCTTCTAAGAAATGAATTTCTGGGGCCAGCCAAAAAGAGCTTTGAAATCTTTTAACTGCACTTCTGGCCCCGGCCTGCTTCTGACTATCTTCCTTCACCAGCCACAGGCTTGTTTCTTCTATTTCTCCAATAGGCCAGCCTTGCTCTCCTCTAGGAACTCTGTCATTGCTTGTTCTTAGCAAGAGGTCAGTAAACAGGTTAATGAATAAATAGGCTACAATAAGCCAATTATGCCCCAGGAGACTCTCATAACTTGTCTGATGTTTGAGACACATGTATTGGAAACAGTATAAGTGACGACTTGAAGATTTAGCCTAAGATTTATTTATTCAGATTCTTCCTTTGAGGAAAATGGTTTGCAATTTTCTCTACTACGGAAGCACATTTTGCTCCTGTAATTTATGTGAAGATGACCTTGTCACATATTACTAGTTGTTTACAATTTCCATTCTTCCCTCCTTTCTTAATAGAACCCTTTAAGGCAATGTGTCCAGTTAAAAATACACATACTCATCTCCCCAGGCTTTCTTACAGCTATAGCAGGTAGCCATGTAACTTAGTTCTAGCAGCTGAGCAGCAGTAGCTGGGTGAGGCTTTGGGAAAGCTATGGCCTTCTTGATAAAAAGGTATAGACTCAGCTGCTAAGTGTCTTTTGTCCTTTGACCTTCTACCCTTCTTGCCTGGAATACAGACAAGATGCTGGAAGTGAAGTTGTTGCCTTGTGTAGCAGGTGCTATCAGTGCTCTGCCCATAAAACCCTGTCACACTCACCATTCCTATATTCACCACAGGCTTCCCACAAAAGCTCCTGTGATTCTGTACCTGAAGGTTTTTGCTGGCTACAGGATCATGTTTAGCCCATGTATGGCAGGTTTGAAGTGCCAGAGTTAGTGATCTTGGGAGTGGCCCTCAATGACAAATGGGAATTGGTATGTGAATAACCCAGCTCCTTGGCCTTCAGGCGGAACAACTTTGAGGAATGAACTACATACACTGGGGTAGGCAGAGATCCCTGAGGTTCCCAGTAGGAATGAACACCAGTTGCCCAAAGCAGTGACCCACTCACTGGCGCACCTGTATCGGCTTTTCTTTTTTCCGTCTCGCTTCCCCACCCCCCTGCCTTCCTGGGATCGCCTTCCAGATAGACTTCCTGCACATGAATCCTTCTCTCAGGGACTCCTGGAGCAAAGCTATATTTAATCCTCATGTTAATTTTGTGAAGTAGGTGCTATCAATTCCATTTTAATGAAGTCCAGAGAGGCCAAGTCCCATGATTACATGGCTAGTGGTGGAATCAGAACTCCATGTCTAGTGATTTTTTTGCCATATGGAAGCAGAGGCTAGATCTTCATTCTAATGAGTCTGTGGCACTGAAGCAGTGACCGGCACCTCCACCTGTTCTCTTTGCCGGTCTTCTGAGATCCTGTGCTTTTCCATCAGCACCCTTCACTCCCATGTGACTGCAGTTGTTTGCTTCTACCGGAGACAGCCTTCCCACCTGCCAAATCTCGTCATAAACTTTACGTGCTATTCATATGTTCTCCAAAACATGTGCTAAACGCTCTTATCTGCAGGCCTTTGCTCAAGCGCTTGCCTTTGCCAGGAATGTCTTTCTTCAGAAGAGGGAAACAGATGCATTTGGGCCCAGTAAGGATGACCTGGTAACTCTATCCTCATGGTAACTGTGGGCAGGACACCCATGTAAGGCCAACAGTACTGAAAACATAAAAGCTTAGTAAATATTTGCAAAATTGAAATGGGTAGCCATGGTGGTATCCAAGTTAAATCCAAATTTACTCCTACTTAAAACCATTAACATCAAATTCCATCACACACAAAAATGAATATACACTCTATAGAAGATTGCAGGCAAATGAAATATACTCCATTGAACATTTAATATATTACAGTCAAGGATTTTTTTAAAAAAGGACAAAATTATAATGTACGTATTCATGAAAATGGTGACCATTTAAACATCATCTGAACCAAAGCAAATAATAATACTCATTTACTTTTATGAAATGCATTGAGAACAACATTACTGGCCTAGATGAGAAAAGATTGTGCTCTCTCACTGGTGACTCAAGAAATAAGATATACTTGTGTTAGAACTGCTGGTATGTAGAGATAAGGCTAGCACCCATGATTGGTTGGACTCTGGAAAACAAGCATGCCGTGCTTTCATGCCACTCCAGGACACAGGAGACAAATTCTGATCTAGGGTGAGACGACATGCAGGGTGTGGAAAGGACTGGACCAAGGGCTTCACTGAGGCTGGAGGAGTGGAAGAAAAGCAATGTGCTTTGAATTTAACATGTGTGTTAAGTGAGGCAAAGAAGCTAGGAGCCTTCTCACAACCATCCCAGGTCAGCGACTCCAAAGATTATATATATGTATCTACACATGTATGTATGTGTATGTGTGTGTGTATATGTATGTATGTATGTATGTATGTAGTTGGCAGGAAATACAAATGCTCACTGGGCCAGACTCAAGAATTAAACTATCATAACAGATGCAGTTTTGAGAACAGATTTATCAAACTACCTATAAACTCAAGTTGGGTACCAGCTCAAAAAATGCCTGTCTGTCTTGTTTCAACTGGTAAAAAATCTATAAAAATGTTTACATGTCTATTTTTGGTAAATTCATTTCACAAAGCCACTATTTCATAAAGACAATAAGGTTCATTAAATACAAGGAAAAATTTATAAATGAGATAACTACTTCAAATACATCTTGTTCAATAAAGGCATTTTCACTAACTATAAAATCTAATGACACAAAATGATAATTATACCACAGTTACTATCAAAAGACTTTTAGATTGTAGTTTAAGCTCAAAAGGGTAGATTTTACAAAAAGATAACATGAGACTATTAATAATATATGAAGAGTATGTGATTACAGAAAATACTAGCAGGTACGATTTTCTTCCTCTTGAAAACTAGCTTTAGTAAGTAATACCAACTCTGATTAAATTTTGCCTACTTTAATTCCTTATTGATGGCACCATAATCTGAAATATTCAAAATAATCCAGTTACTCTGGCCACGAAATTAAGTCATCATTATGTTTCTAAAATAATTCATCCAGAATATACTTGAGTAGCCTAGTCTATACTTATTATACAGTATTATGTAAACGTTAATAGTTTTTTTCAATATTTCCTACATTTTTCCAAAGTTCTGTTTCCCATGACTTCGATCATTAAATATGACTACCTTAGGGTTTTAAACACTCATGTCCATTATGAGAATATGTTGGGGAAAAATCCATTCTCTTTAATGTGACAAGCTACACTCTAAGAAATGACCCCAGAGATGCTATATTAGGATAGGGTTAGAGGTATTATCTGAAGATCTGAGGAATGTTCAGGGGACAGAGCTCAGACAAGGGATTTTGAGAAGTTTTAATTTTTCAAGAAAAACATTCTGAGAAGGGAAAAAGTGTTCTATAATCTAGGGTATGTTTAAGAGCCCTTGCTCTCATAACCGAATGTATGAAAACAGTTTTCCTTAAAGAAATACAGGTCTATGAGCCAAGGCAAGCTTTGGCTAAATGATTGGTAGCTTTTATTTGGCTCTGGAGGTTTCCATGGAAACAGCCTGAGAGACAGAAAAGGCAGCATTATCATTTTTATCTGTAATGCCATCTGATAAAACTGCACATTGATTCATTCATGTTATCCAGAGCAGATATATTATTTCTGATAAGCCTGGACAAAGAGAAGCAAGAGTTCTATTTGGTCATACTTTAAATTTCTTACCTTCCTCCATTTTAAACCTTAAATTAAAATCCTGATTAAACCTCCTCTGAACATTTCCCTAAGGACCCGCTAGTTCAAGTAATGCTTCAATAATCAGAAGCCAAATGAAGAAATGTGAAGTACCAAATGGAGCTCCACTGCCAAGTTCTTAAAATTATATGACACCAAGCTTCCTGTAGCTGAAGAAATTATTCTGAAGAGTATTTACAATTCCATTATATCAGATCTCAGCCAGGCAAGAAATACAGTCTTAAGTGTTTATTATACACAGTTGAATCAGGTAGCATCATCCATAATTTGTCTCCCTCCTTATGGCTAGATCATTTGTATGTATGTGTTTGTATATTTATCTATATATCTATCTTTATTTAATATACTTCATAGAGTAACACGAACTACACACTATTATCTAATCTTATTTCAGGTTAGTGCTTTTGAAAAAGGCCAAAAAAGCAGCCCTAGCTCAGAAGTTTATATCTGAAGTACACAAAAATAAAAACTTCAACAACAAACATTAAAATATAAACAAATAATTTAAGGATGCATGCAACCCTTAGCACCGTATTTAAAAGACCACAGAGGGCAAGAGGGTTGACAGAGGTCTAAAGAGGAATCCATCTCTGGGTTTTCCCCAGGAACGGAATCCCAAACACAGAACCCTCTTATAGAGTCCAGTACTTTTAAAAAGAGAAGGCCTGAGAAAGTCTATTAACAGAAATGTCAAAATCCATGATTTACCAGAGACAGATGATTTGACATTGTTTCTTATTCTAAAAGCATTGAAGACATTATTCCTTAGGAACAAATTGCTCACTTTTGAAGATCAATTGAGAAATCACTGCCAGCTCAATGAACTAAATGACACCTCAGTAAGTTAAAAAGACATGATATATCCCCCCAAAGGACCAGTGTAATCATGGAAAGTAGTTTACTAATGAGCAGTTAGCTTCCTGATACAATATAGACATGGACTACGCTGAAAAGATTTAACCTAGCACATACAATTATATACTCCACAAGGCTAAAAGTCTGAAAAACAACATCTTTAAACATTATGGCACTGGTGTAAAAATATAAACCACAGAATAAAGTCTCAGCTTTGTCCTTTCCATAAAAAAGGAACTAAAAGTCTAAGGAAGGGCTTAGCGATGTGCTGAAGATCTTGGTGGCTTAAAGGTGACAGGTAAAAAGTTATAAAGCTAGAAACAACTTTATATATCATTTAATGCAAATCCCTCATCTCATTGTTGGGAAAACTGGGGCCTCAGGATAAGTGTCAGTCCCAGCTCATGGAAGAGCCATGACCGGAAGGAGAAGCTGTGGGACTCTTAGTGCGGCACATTCTCATTACGTTCATCTTCCAGGTTCCCTTAAGTCTTAATGTGTATCATTTAATCGAGCTCGAGGAATATGACAGAAGTATCAGATAGGAAAAAATGCTGCATTTTTAAAGATTTTGGCAATAATTCTGATGTGCTTAATATTTAGGGGAAAATCCCAGTCATCATCTGAAAAATGTTATTTCCTACATGACACAGGTTCCTTTTCTGAGACCAGTTTTAGTAGGTACTGGAATATCTCACAGCTGGCAGTTTTCAAATGCCCCATCTTTATAGCTCGAGTTTGACTCAATAGATCTCATATCGTCAGGAGTGCTGAAATGACTGCTGTCTTGAGAATCTGTACCAATACTTTTGGTCTCTGACTGAAGGTGGACAGAAACCTGAACTGCTATTTCCTGGCCTTGTTCATTCAGAGAACCATCATCTGAATCTCCTCCTGGGGAATTACTCCGCCCCATCTCTGGGTTAATGACATAGATGCCATCTTGAGCATTCAAAGCAGGTCTTTCTTTAATTCTTTCTCCCATGTCATCAGGGTCATCCATTCGCACAGCCTCAAACATCTCTTCAACGAAGGCTCTGCAGTTTAGAATAAGGGGTGGAAGAGGGACGCTTCTTGCCAGTTCTTCAATGTAACGAGCAAATTCCATGGTTTTAAATTGTGTGACTTTGGCAAGTTCCAGAGTCTTGGCGGAGGTGATAATGGGGATGCGTTTTGCAATTTCAAAGGCCTTCTGAAGTTTCTCGGCCCCTTCAGTTCTGAAGAATTCATTGATAGCCTTCTCGGTCTTACGAAGATGGCTGCTCATCATGCACAGCCGCGTGACATTCAAGATGAGAGTGATAGTAAAAGCAATCAGGCAAACAATCATGTAGTAGACACTCATGTCTCCTGAGGTGAAGATAACGCGCAAGGTGACAGAATAGGAGGCACGAGTTGGAGAGGTGACGAAACATGTATAAAGCCCACGGTCATCAAAGGCTACGTTGGTGATATTCAGGAAGTTATCAGAAACCAACCATTTTCCACCTGATAACCCAACAGAAACAAAAAATTACAGCATAAAGAACATTATTACTAAATATGCCAACTGCTGTATCAATATTCCACTTCTTCATGACCTTACTTTAACTCAACTCATCCATTAGATTCTGCTATTTGTTCAAATCATGTAAGAAAGGGCCGACTGCTATGTCCAGAGTCAGAATTTAAACAGCCTGAAATTTAGGAAGTGAATCAAGATCTTCCTTCCAGACAGTAATGATTATCATAGCTACCTCTTCACTGCTAAATGTAGCAAGACTTTCAGGGAGACAGGTATGTCTCTATAATGTTAAATGACTAATCTTAAAAAAAAAAATGTTTATATGTACACAGGCATACCTCAGAGATATTGTGGGCTTGGTTCCAGACCACCTCAGTAAAAGTATCGCAAATTTAGGAAGTGAATCAAGATCTTCCTTCCAGACAGTAATGATTATCATAGCTACCTCTTCACTGCTAAATGTAGCAAGACTTTCAGGGAGACAGGTATGTCTCTATAATGTTAAATGACTAATCTTAAAAAAAAAATGTTTATATGTACACAGGCATACCTCAGAGATATTGTGGGCTTGGTTCCAGACCACCTCAGTAAAGCGAGTATCGCAATAACACAAGTTATGACCTTTTTTGCTGGTGGAGGGTCTTTCCTTTAATTTATGGGGAAAAAAAAAGTGCAACATTTGTGGAGTGCAATAAAGCAAAGTGCCAATAAATGAGGTATGTCTGTATGTGTGTCAACACCACAATCTCTACCTACACATTTTCACACATTAGAAGAATATAAAACAAATAAAAATATAAAACAGATATGTAAAACAATGGCCATTTCTGGGGTGATGGGTTGTAAGTAATAGTTTTCTTTCTTTTTTTTTTTTAATTTAACTATGCTTACTTTTTGATAATAAACTTATATAACAAGAGACTAAAGTTCTTTTTTAAAAAGCTCTACCAATTTAATTAATTTGCTTAATTACTAACTGGCTAATCTGACATGCCTTCCTTGCACATGTTAATTTGTGTTGCTAGAAAAGGTTTATAGATGATGGTATTTTGACTTTTGGCAAGAGTAACTGAAGCACAAGCCAAAAGATATGTCTCCAGAGTCAGGGTAAATGAATAGCTGGGTATAGAAAATAAAACTGCCTTTAAGATACCTAGGCTTCTGTTTTTAACCTAAAACATGCCACTTCTTTCCCATACATGAAGGTATCTTCATTCCGGGAACACTTATACAAAAGTATAGAAGAGTATGAAAAGCAGAGCATACTGACCACCCACCTTGATTCAACATCCTTTAATATCCTGGCTCTGCCTGCAGAATTCTCATGTTTATGGTAAATTCTCAGTATACTCTGTGCTTTAACTATGACAGCCATTCAAAGATGGGATGAATGGGCTAACTGAAGGTATAGGTAGGTGTGAGTTCTCAATACCTAGAGATAGTGTTCCAGAAGAGGATGGCTGACTGTTAAGCACTACCCGAATGCCTAATCCTCAAGATCTCTTTCATCCCTGGGATTCTATGGTTCTAGATTATTTTAGTGGCACATAAATCAGTAAGCGCTCTGGACTCTGCCCATTTTTATCATCATCAAAATTTATCTAAATTCTACGGTTATATCTAGGAGTCATTGCTTCACCAATGTATAAAGAGGAGGAAAATACATAACTATAAATATAGTCATTATTCCATAAGTGTCTGCCCTATGAACCTGGATCTATGAAAAAGATTCCCTATGAATCCAAGGTATGATGAACTATATAGATTCCATTTATCAACCACTATGTTATGACCGCAATCTAAACTCTCTAGCTCACTTGCTGATAATAGCTCAAGATTTATGAACCTTATACTAGACTGACATGCTCTTTAAACTGGTCTCACTTGAGATTCATAAAATTTAATACAATTTTCCATAACTGTGCTGAAAGCATCAATAGTAGATGTCAGTGGTTTTCAAAGTAAAAGCAAAATAGGAAAATAAAATTGCTGTTCCAAATCGCTGGTCTCAACTTAAGCTTTGTTTACATTATGATCACATCAATTGAATAATTCAAATCTCAGATGTGTTTGGTCAGGATCTTACAGCCCAGTGGAGGTAAGAGTTTTGTACAGTGGGTCCAAATGTGAAGCCTCAAAACATAGTCAAAATACACATTTTGGGAACCAATCTAGAGATTCTGATTTAATAGGTCTATATTCTTAAGAAGCTAATTAAAAATACACTGTTCTAACCCTTCGATCTCTTCAAACTCTTCAATCCCTTGGTGGCCAGTTACTCAATTTGTAGGTTAAAATGTTTAGCATACATCTTAGAAGGAAACACCACCTGTCTCCTTTTCTGTTTTCCACTCTAATATGAATAACCAAATATCCTTTATATTCCAAGAGATTAGACTATTTTTCTAGCAAAAAAAAAAAAAATAGGGGGGCTCCTCTGAAAGTACAGCTTGTGAGATCCCAGAATTTAATCTTTATTTCATTGATTTTTCCTGGTGATTTCTTTCTTAGGTACTTTAACACAAGTAGTCTTCCAAAAACTCTAATGGCACACTAGTTCAGTAAATAGTATCCTGATTTAAAATGTGTTCACAGGTTCACAAACAGCAAAATCAAATAAAAACCTGTCAAAAAATAGACCTTGGTTACATTACTATGATGTCTGTGCAATTTTTAAGACTGAGAGACCAAAATACAAGAGAAATTCTGTTTCCAGTAAATTAAGGTATAGAATAGAAAAAAAAAAAAAAGTGCTGGAAAGGCTTTCAGAGCTCCTTCTCAGTGCCCTTCTAATTCTCAGAGAGACTTAAAAGTTTTAAGCACAAATCTAGAATCATTTAAAAATACACCCTGGATTTCCTCTAACATTTTCAGTAACTAATTTCTGAGCAAACATTTTAAAATTTATGACAAATTTATTTAAGTCTAGCTAAAATCCTTCTTGCTGTATTCACGCAGGGCCACCATACTGTACTATCCATATTATAGTCTAGGTGAATGGTGCCCTTGGAGTTACGCAGTGCATAGCTTGTAGAGCTGTATGCAGCAGTCCTGATGTAGTCCACTTTCCATGATAAAGGAAACCAATTCGCTAAGAGGAAAGCAAATAGCTCACTGTCATCATATTAACATCTTTTAAATTTATAACTATTCCTTACTTTTTCTTTTTCTGGTTAACTAATTATAACCATTCAGCTTTTTTTTTGATAGGTAATATACTCCAGGCCTTTCAAAAGTTTTAACTATTTATTCTGGTACCTCACCTTTGAGATTTCTTTTTGAATATGCTACAAAACCAAGAAGAGAGAAGTAACAGGAAATGAATAATCTTGATTCACATTCATTATACCCTGGCATAGTTACCTCTGCCTCTGTCATCCAGTTGCTGTCCTTTTGAGTTGTACCAATGGACATCTTCATAGCGGTCGACTGTGAGAAGACACTCGATTGAAACACTAGCTCCCTCTTTGGCTATGATGACATCATCACCTGAGTGGGAGCCTGCTGAGAGTTCAAAGCTTGGGGGAAACGATGCATTGAAGGAACTATGATTTGCTTCTAGTGGGTCTATTTGGTTGAAGCCTACATCTTCCAAAACAAAAGCAGCCGGCATAATAACACTCATCACTAAAGTGAATAAACAAGAATGTGGCTTCATGGAAAATGGAATATTGTTTAGTTTGGAGAATTCAAAAGCTTCTATACTATAACAAGAGTGCAGGAGGTAATTTATTGCTTGGTATTAAAGTTTTCCAAAAAAGTGGTAGATCCAAGTATATTTTGAAGTCTTCAGGATTAAAAGATGCGAGTGAAGACCAACCTAAAAGCAAGCCAGATATAAAGTTTAACCAACAAAGATTCATAATAGGGTGAAACTCTATGTTCTAGAAATGAAGAGATGTAAAATTGACTAGAATAACTGGTGCCAATATCAGGGAGTGAAATAGAACACCACCTAAAAATCCACACAGAGATGGTATAAAGGGCAATGAACTGGGAAATGGCAGACCTAGATTCTGATCCCAGGTTTGCTATTAACTAGCTGTACTTGTTTTCTCATCTGTCAAATGAGGGACTAGAGTAGACAAATTTTAAGGACTCTTTTAGTTCTGAAATTCTATGATTTCATTTCACTCTGACAAATTCTATGCAACAGGGAGCCAATGAGGCTAAAATATTTAGCCTAATGATCTCTTATTTCAATCTGCACCATTACCATCTGTTGTTATATCACTAATGTAAATCAACAGGTACATCATAATCATAACCATGAAACTCAAAATTTGAGTAGTTCAAGAACACAGCTATATTAGATATAAGTAATGTAGAGACAGTTGAGGTAGTTCTTTTCCTTTAATATTAGAAAGAAAACTGTACTACTGCCTACACAGAAATATACATATACTGACTTCTGAGGCTATAAACTTCCTTCTTGATCAAGAATGTTAGACAGAATGACTTTCCTTTAATAGTTTCTTCACCATCAAGAGACAAAATAAAGTACATTTAACAGTTTTTAGAATACTAAATTTCTAGCTTAAAGTCTATAAAATTAGTAGAGGGAGGAACTGACATCTTAAATGTCTAGTTGGTAAAAATGTAAATAAAAGCTACAGGGAAAGATTACCAGACAAATTTACAAGAAAAGTAAAATATCTTGAATAAAAAACAAAATGATATCTCGGTCTAAGAGTCTATGTGATTATGATCATCTTCCAGTAATTTGATTCCTCTTTTGAAGTCATTGACTCTCAAAGAAAAATTTCAACTTTCATTTCTATAAACTATGGGATGAAACACTTAGCTTTATGTCTCTTAAGGGCCCAAAATAATTAGTTTTGGAAATAATATTTACTCCCCTTTATACTTACATGAAGGCTTCTTGATCACATAACATAAAAAGCATTGGAACATTGTATTGTGCCATTAAACTCCTCAAAGTCTGAATTACAATAAACTAAAAATGTCGCTTAATTTTCATTAGCCCTTGAAAAGATGGTAGAATGATGACAATAATTTTCTATCTTTCAAATTTAAGGATGGACCATTTAGAGTGAAACAAAGAACTTCAGACTTCGTAATACATAATAACTGACTACATGCTTATTTCCATTTTTCCTCCCACAATCCCACTGAAATGACACTAAAAGAAACAAAGCACTTGGGCTCAGGTGTTCCCTAGAACTCTGATAAAGAACTCTTTATCCAAGTCAGCATTTTCCAAATTTCATTCATTCTTTCTACCTTCATAATTTTTTTTGCTATACCCATGTACTAAGTTATTATTATTTATGCTTTTTGTTTAAATCAACTCACTATTTTACTTATATACATTTTAGAAGGAAAGACTGTATCATATCTGTGGATAAAAGTAACTGTACACATAAACACAATGAAAACAAAGTAATGTTATTAACTCTCAGAGATATTGCCTTCTATGAAAGGCTCTGAGCTGGAGGACTGCTCTCTTTGTAGAAAAAACAACGAACAAAAACAAAACAAATACCCCTCACCAGACAGCTCCACTTTATTCTAATACCACTGCATTTCTTATCCAGTCATTCCTTTCCTCCCCACCCTTGCCCACCACTGAGTTTAGAACCACTACTTTAGACTAGAGGTATACATTTTCATCGATTCAGCAGTATTTATTGAGCACCTACTATGTGACAACCTACTGTACTACAAACAAAATACGCTAGATGCTACCTAAGGGAAAGTACAGGATGCTACAGGAGCACCCAACGTGGGAAGTCTTGTGAGAAAGTGGGATGTGCAATAGGACCTGAGGGATAAACAGGATTTGAGAATGGAAGAGAAGTGTTTTAGGTAAAGTGACAGGGGTCGGGGAAAAAGCAGAGGAATCACTGATTACAAAGTGTTCAGGGAAAAGAGCTATAACTTCTAATGAGAAGTGGGGGCCAGAGAGCACAGAGACAGTTTCTTGATTCTGGAGGAGAGCACAGTAGTCTGGGCCAACAGCAAAACTGAAGGTGGACTTTGTGAAATGGAGTGAGAGGCTGAAGTGAGTGAAGAAGATACTCATCCAAGATGAAGAGGCTAAAGAACTTAAAGGCTCAAGAGTGAGGTAGATCACCTGTGGGGACAGTGATGCCCCCTCTGGGATCAAGGCAGTTAGGGTAGGAGACACTGGAAGGAAACAGAAGAAATGGATTCACTTTCCCTGCTCTGAGACGCAGAAGGTTTGGGGGAATGAACAGCCTCCACATGAGAGGACTGTGGAGCAAATGGTGTCCTGGCACTGTCACTGCTGTGTAGAATTCCTTCTTCATGCAGCCTCCTTGAGCCTCCTCTCAAGGGCTGACTCTTCCTCCCGCATGGGTCCAGCATATATCTGGATGCAGGATGGCTCTTCTCTGACTCCCGGTAGCCCTTGTTGTTACACTACTCACTGAGCTCTAGTACATGCTGCTCTGTACTGCTAGGCAGTCTACCCCATCTCACCTATGAGCTCTGCAAACACAGGGACTATATTTTTTATTGCTATACTTCATGTGATGGATCTTTGTAAATTAAAGAATGTTATGCGACAGGGACCATAATTATTCAAACTGACATGCATTTACTAGTGCTTATATTCTCTGACAAAAAGAGCCAATGCTAACAATCTCAAAAGTACTTAAAGGCATAACGTCCGAAAGAATTCCTTGAACCAACTCCCAAATTCATGTTGTCCTAGAAGATAATGGTGGGAATAAAAGTTTACCAAGTCCAGAGTTTCCAAACAAGATTGAATATCACAATCGTCTAGAGAGCTTATTAAAAATATAAGTTACTTTTTCCCACTCCAGACCTACTGAATAAGAACCTCCAAGTTTGGGCCTTGGAACTTATGGTTTTTAATTAGCTCCCTGAGTGATTCTGAGGCAGAAGGTCCATGCACTGGCATCCAGAGATCATTAATATGCTTCATTACTTCAGAGATCACTAGTACACTTCCTCATTACCTCTACAACAGCCCTGTCTAATGGTGCTTCAGCATGAACAGTTCAATACGCGAGCTCACTCACTCGCATTCCATTCTGGATTAAGATTACTCTGGGACATCGTAATTGCAGGTCTCTGACAGAGGCAGGGTAGCAGTGCGGTTCAGGGTACGGACTCTGGAGCCAGATTTTCTGGACTCTAATCCTGGCTCTGCTTTTACTCAACCTTGCAACTTTTGTTAATGAATTAATCTCTCTGTGTCTCAGTTACCTTACCTTCAAAATAGGGAAAACGATAGTATCTATTCTCACAGGACTATTGCTAGGTCTGAATGAAAGAGCATGTATAAAATGGAGAGTCTGGCAATAGTAACTGAGTAAGCTCTGGTTATTATTATTGTCAATGGTCCTTTCAGGTATTGTGCTAAATTCTACTCATTATAGCAAAATCATTATTTGAGATAAATAAAATACTTTTACTCAGGATACTCTGCAACTATTTAAAAACCTTGGGAAAAGAGGGAGCATTCCATTATGTAATTTCAATCTTTAATTTTAAATTTCATATTTTTCTTTTCATTGCGAGTAAATATTTTGCAATAATACGGATCAAACAAACAGGCATAGTAAACTAAGGTTGGACCCCAGCCATGGTATGTTACATTGCTTTGAAGTGTCTTGAGTTTGTGGTAGAGAACATTTACTGTGATCTACCTAGTCTGTTTCCCTTTTTTGAGCCCTGCCTTCTCAGGTCCAGGAGGAAGACAACCTTCCGGCTGACTAAACTAATTAGAATCTTTGTTCTTGAATTTTGGAATTACGACACTGTGGGTTAGGGCTCTTTGAGGAAGAGAAGGAGTATAGGGGGCTGAGGCAGTCAGGTTTGGGCCACATACAAAGAGAAGCAGAGAGAAAGGACAACAAGAATGGAGAAGAGAAAGAGAATGGTAAGAGAGGAGCAGAGGGGAAGAGAAAAGCTCATAAATGCTACTCCAGCTCCTGATATAATTCTACTTCCTGGCTCCAATATGACTGTTTTGTTTGTTTGTTCTTTTTTTTCTTTTTTTTTGCCCTAAAGAAATAAACATCTTTATTCAATCTTATTCAAATTTATTCACGATTAAAACCACAAAAGACCAAATGTGCATATAAGAAAGGAAACAGAAAAAAGGCTAAGTAGGAGAAAAAAGATTAAGTTTAGCAAAAGTGTCTAAACTGTGGCTATGGCTACCAGGCAACCCTCATCATGGATCTCCTCTTCTCCTTATACACTAGAGTGTGGCACATAAACTGCCCATGAAGTCAAGATCTGCAGTTCCGGTCCAGCCATTTGTCTCTACTAGAAGTTTAGAGAAACCTACAAGACAGGGTCTAGAAAGACATTATGAACACTCTTAAACTGCTCTTAGGTCGAAGGTGGCAGAAGTACCCTGGTACACTGACTTTATGCCAGGGGAGCACGAGGTCTCATAATATCCTTATATGTCCAGTTGATTAAGACAGGCTCATTCTGGGCACGTCATACTCATATCATGGGCAACCTGAACACAAAGAACTTCTAGTCTGAGCTACTAAGAGACATAACCCACTTGGAGATAAGAGGCTGTTGAGCAGTTGGGAGAGAAAGTACTGGCAGAAGTATGTGTCCAAGGTTATAGGAACAGAACAAATCACCCTTGGGATCAGGATACCCTTGACTTATCTCTTCATACTAAATTTCTTTTTACTTAAGTCTGCGTGAATTGGTTTCTGCTACTTACAATGAAAATTACATTAACTAAAACCATTCTACTCATTAGGGAGCAATGATTTTAAAACAGCTCAGCTAAATCAGAGGCTCATCATGCACAAGATAAAGTCCTGGGTGCTGCAAGAGATGCTCAGTTGAATTAGGATATGACCCAGACCCTCAGGGATTTACAAATTAGTCTGAAGGCAGAGGTAGAAACAGCTAACTATATACAAGAATGTGTGAGAAATACTTAAAAGAAATATAATCGTACTATGAACACAAAAGAGAAAGGAAGACTTCATGAATTTTAGAAAGGTAATTCACTTGTAAGTTTGGGACTTCCCAAATTGTGCCTACTATTCTCAATGCAGCAGCTGACATGTAGATGCTAAGGAGAAAGTTCAAAAATGAAAATCAAAGTGCCATCTTCCTGCAAACAGGTAAAGAGGTATATGCTATGCTTGTGGATGAAGTTACTTGGTAGAATTTTTTATTATCTTGCTTCAACATGAGTAAGAAAAACAGAAAAGTGTAATACTCAAGTTTAATCCAACTCCTTTTTTATCTTTTAGGTATAGTAAAATGCAAGTATTTCCAGGATCATGAATAATCAGAAATGTAGATAATTTTACCCTACAGAACCATTCTGAATATTGGCTATATCATTTTAAAGAAAGAAAAAGAAAAGAAAGAAAAGTGCCTAAACTGTCATCCCTAACAGATTGCCTTGTTGGGGTTCCCGCCAACTTCTGTGAAATATTTTCATTCTGTTCCAACTCTCAACAGAAATAAATAAGGAAGTAATGTGGCTGATTTCCGTTCTCATGGCTCAATATTAAGTTGGCTGAGGAAGCTACTGTTTGCAAAAATAGTTCTGGGATAACTCAGAGGGAGGAAAAGCACTGATGCCCAGATGGTATTGGCTTTTGCTCCAAGTATACTGGGATATTAATGCTTCATTCTCCATAATGAAATGTGTTCTAGGCTTTATTTATGGCTCATCCACTCTTCTCTGGCTGCCCAGTTACACTTGAAAAATAGAGAAGTTCCCCTACTCCTGGCCCACAAATGGTCAAAGTGGCATTCTGAATTGGCAAAGGGGTGAAAAAGCAAACGAACAGCAGATTGTTAGCATTCCTCTATCCTTTGCAAAGAACAAACATAAAGCTGTTCTGCTTATGGTAACATTATTATAGGGATCTGTAACATATAAGGGTTACTAATGTTCAAATAGAAACCAACATTTTGAGGGCCATTTTCTAAAAAGTTTCTTATTAAAATAGCCCCTATGTTTCCAATAGTATCTTGGAGCCATCACACACCTCATAGCTGGCATTTGGGCACTCAGCTCAAACTTCAACATATTCTCTGGCATACTAAGAAAGAGCTTCTATATTTATTGGAGCTTTGCTTTAAACCCAGGATTATTTGTTACACGTATGCCTTTTATCCTTTTTGCCACAAGCATTTGCTGAAACTAATGGATGCAAATGTCAAAGACATTGATGTAGCAGGCTTAGATTTATGATCTCCTTATCCATTTTTTTTCCTTAAAAGTCTGAGAAATCCCCCAGTATTTCAAACTCAGACAAACTAAAACAGAACTCCTCACTCTCACCCTCAGATCTATTTGTCCAACATATACACAGCTGGAATGATAGCTACACAATACAATTCTTCCAGTTTTGCAAGATCAAAGTTACAGGATTGTCATGGTTCATTGGTTAGGTGCATCGGTTCTGGAATCAGAATGCCTGATCCTATCCCCAAGTGAAACTGTGGGCTTGCAAGGCCCTAGTTTTCACATCTACTGAATAAGGTTATTAACAGTAACTACCTCATTAGTTGTGAGCTACCTTATGAAGTGAACTAATGTGGGTATGTTATAAACACATGCTATTGTTATAATTATTTCACCTCTCAGATGATTTTCAATTAAATCCTTTGTCCGTCACCTAGGTCATAGTCCTTTTACCTTACCTGGATACCACACTATTTTTTTAATTTCTAAGTGAGTCTCCTTAACCCCAACTATATCCCTTTGTTATCCCAAACACTGCTCCTCTCAGCATTGGACCTAAACACAAATCCAAGAAAACAGTGATTTAAAAATCTATTAGTGATTTTCCATGGCCCATGAGATAAGCTTCAAATTCTAGTCCAGCATCCATAATTCTCCAGTAATAGATTTATGTGGCAGAACAAAGTAGTAGGCTGACCCCAGCAGTACCTGGATGCACAATTGCTTGCTGAAGAGATGAATGGATTTAGAAGTCACATCTGGTCTTTAGTTATACCTCTGTCACTATTTAGCTATGATCTCTAGTGGGCTTAGTTTCCTTATCTAGAGGCTAATTATCATTATCATTCCTTTCTTTGCTTAAATCTCATAATTTCTGTTTCCCTGTCATGGAAACTTAGCCATACATGTTTTACTGTAGTCTCTCCAAGTAACTTTTCACTTTAAAGTTCTGGTTCTAGTTGTTTCTTTTGCTTGAAACTTCCTATCCCTCCCCACCAATATCTTCCTGTGGAAATTCGATCAGCTTTACAATAGCCAACTCAAATTTCACCTTATTCAAGAAGTCTTCTCACCTAAACTCTTACCTCAACCCTCTTAATTTTAGACGGATTTCTTTTGCTCTTTCAATCCCCTGGCTCACTGAGTACTCGACTGTTAGACTTATCACTTTCTTTCTACATTATCTATTTGTCCCAAAATCTGTAAGCGTACAGATGACAGAGTTAAAAAACTCCTCAGTCCTTAGCACAGGATTGGATTCAATGTTTTGAATTCAGACACTCATCAACTTGGTAGAAAGGTACTTGCTACAAACTTCTGACTGATTTTCCAGAGTCTCAGGCTCTGGAATTAATGGAGAGATTTGAAGACGTGCGAATACAGCTTTTTTTTTGGGGGGGGGGTAAGGAGCAGAACTCTCTAGAGTGAATTTGATTTGTTTTCCTCACACTGCAATTCTTAGACCACTTACATCAAATTAATCTGTGCTACTTGTTAAAGATACAATTTCTTGGCTCCCTCCACTCTGACTTGCTGATTTGGCACCACTAAGGGTGAAGCCTAGGCATCCACATTTTTAATGTGCATAGTTTTAATGACTTACAAATCAAGTCCGTATTTCTTTTGACTGTCATAACAATACTGTAATTCAGCAATACTCAAAGTGTGGTACTGGGGCCTCTGGGAGACTTTTTCAAAATGATTTTTTAAAAACAATTTTAATAACAACACTGGGACATTATCTGCTCTTTTTACTCTCATTCTCACACAGTATGGTACAATTTTCCAGAGGCTACATGACAAGTGATAACCAGAAGAGAATGAATGCAGAAGGAGATATGAGAATCTGTCTTCTATCAAACCGGATATTAAAGAGACTAGTAAAAATGTGAAACAATGTCATTCTTTTCAATAATATTTTTGGTTTCCAATAATATTGGAAAATATTCTTCATAGAAATGCTACTTATGTTAACATGTAACGAATCTACCATTTTAAATAAATTAATAACTTTTTTGAAAGTTGTTTTAATATCTAAAATGGCAAATATTGATAGATATAACCTACACAGAAGAAACTTTTTGATGTTCTCAATAAGTTTCAAAGGTGTAAAAGGATCCCAAAACCAAAAAGTTAGAGAACTTTTGCTATAATTATCAGCAGTATTTTACAGATAAAATTAAGACACAGTTAAATGGCTTACCGAGATTCCATACTTGAACCCCAAATTCTATGAAAAATCAGAGGAAATCACCTATTTTATACTTATGCAGTTTGTTTATTGTAATAGGCATTTTAAAAAATGTATTTATTTAATTTAGTTTCAAGTACACAGTACATTAGTTAGATATCTATAATGTTCATAAAGCGATCCCAATTGCTCCCTCCCTCTCCTGGCCCTCCACTTAGCCATCATATTAATGTGAACTGCATTCCCTCTACCATGCTCCCCATCCCCGCGCCCAACTATCAACTACTAATTTGTAATAGGCATTTTTAACAAGCTTCCAGGTGATATCGATGCTCCTAAATTTGGAAAACCACCATGAAAGGCAAAGGAAACTATCCCAAGGGTTTTAGGAACTGACAATTATATATATGGACATTAAAATGATGACTCTCAAGGCATTAAATGAAGCTGGAAGACTTGAAAGGCCAAGTCTCTTCACCTCTCTGGGACTTAGTTTTTCACAATCAGGGTGTCTCTAATGCCTTCCGGGCTGTCAGTCTGGGTGTCATGCATTCACACTGCTCAAGGGCAACTGGAGATGCATCTTGCTGATAAGAGGTCAGGAGTAACTTAAAAGTCATGCATCAGAGCATGTCACTTCTCTGCATAAACCTTCAATAGTTTTCCACTGCTTTCTAAATAAAAGTCTAAATAAATCCTGTCCTGGCTCACAGATCTGTTTAAGTCTCTGGCCGTATCTTCCTCTTTTTGCTTCAGTCACGGAGGCCTTTTTTTCTTATCCTTGACCTCGCTAAGCTTGTTCCCACTAGAAGGCCTTTGCAGTTGCTATTCCTTCTCCAATGCACTTCTCTAGAACTTCATAAGGCTTACTCCTTCACTTCGTTCAGTCACATTATCCCTGTTTAATTTACTTTTAAGTACCCACTACCATCTTAGATAATCGTGTTTGCTGACATGTTTATGGTTGACCTCGTACACTAGGATGTCAACTACTCGAGAGCAGGGCAACAGTGGCTCGTAAACCAGTCTGTCTGTCCCAAGCGCCCAGGGTAGTGCCTGGAAGGTTGCTGGTGCTCAGTATATGTACGATGGCCGAACTTCTGCAGCTCAGGCCTGAACTTCAAAAAAAAAGTGCAGATACCCTAGCTTCCTTTACGTCGTACTCTAACCCGCTAGCTCGAATCCAAGCCCTGGCACTCCCAGAATCTCCTTCGCAGCGACCCCCACCGAGCCCTCACTCACCAGAACGACACCGAGCTCTTTGCGGGAGGAGCAGCGACTTGACCCGGAAGTGCACTCGGGCAGGCGAGGCCGCCTCCGCGCTGAATGAGCACTTCCGGGGCAGTAGGAGCGACTCGTCGTTGACTGTGGCGGCGGTGAGGGTAGCAGCGGGTAGGTTGTGGGGCTTTCCGGGAGGAGCTTGGCCCGGTGCAGGGGCCGATCTGGCGGTGTTGGGGGAGAGGAGGAAATGGGCTGGGGCTGGGCGCTAACACCTCATGGCTGGAGGCTGAGGTTGTGAAAGCGCTTTGGTTATGGAAGCGCAACGTTCGAGGAATTGTTTTCAGCGACGAGACGTCGTCAATTTAGAAGCGCATGTTTGCTTTAGACTTCCCGTATGGGACCTGTTTTTCTGTGTGGGAAGGAGTGAGAGCGCATGTTTGTCAGTCTAGACAGCCGTATTAACAACTGTAGTAATGATAGAAACAACCGCCGCCATAAGTACTAACCGCAGCTGTTACCCATGGGAAACTAACTGGTTGTGTGCCATTCATTCTCTGTTCCAGGCCCTTCACGTGCATCGTGTTTAATCTTTATAGGAACCCTGTCAAGTAGATATTCCTAGTCCCGTTTTGCAGATGAAACGGAGACGCAGATGGCTGAACTAACTTGTAACAATCACTGCAGTACAGAGTTGAAAGAAAGTCATTCTAATTCCAGAGCCCCTACTCTTAGCTCCTAAGCTAAAGCACCTTCCACTTCGGTAACTGTGCGGCTGGAAGTTCCCAAAGAAAATGGGGGAAAGTATATATATATTCGTTAAGTGTGTACAATTTTATTTTTTTAAAAATATGACTCAACCGTATAGTTTTGCTCATAATGTTCTACTTCTTGGAGTCTTTCTCCTCCAGTTATGAAAGTGACACAGTTACTACAGTATACTTGGAAAACTTACGAAAACATTAAATAGTGCAAATCCATGTACTTGGTATGTATACAAATCCATATACTTTGTGTGTGTGCATTTCCTGCTATATTATGAATCTGCTAAAAACAGTGATAGTACAGCCATTCTAACAACGGAAGTAGTGACAATAACAGTAATAATAATATAAACAGTCACCATCACAAAAAATTTTCTTCATACCTAGCTCAAATGCCTGGCACATTCTAGTTGCTCATTAAATTTTTGTTAAACAAATGAAAGAATAGAGATGACCAATGTTTAGTATTTTAGAGTGTGTCCTTCCAGTCTTTTATAAAATTATATAAATTATGTAGTATATATTATATGCTACATGTAAACTATATAATTATGAGTTGTAATTTGGAGAGAGCATAAAGAGAGTAAAAAGATAGTAAGAAAAAGTACATGTTCAGCTACACAAACATTGATTTTTGTGCACGAACTGTGTAGTCTTTCCTATTAGTTTCTTGGAGTAAGTGGGGCAGAAATTGTGTCTTAAATTATTTCTCAATCTCCAGAATTTGGTACCTAGTAGATACTCAAAAAATGTTTGCAAGTGAGTGAATGAATGAATGAATATTTCAGACTCGGTTTGTATGTGTGAGTAGTTATATCTAGATTTTTTTTTTTCTGTGTGTTTTGGGAATATATAATGTATGTGTATCATATAACTTTATATTACCTATGATCCACGGTGTTGTATAAATCTACCTTTCTAGACTTAAGCCTTCCCAGCATGCTTCTTTCTATGCCATTTTTACTACTCCTGGTTCTGTCATTCCGTACTGTTACATCTTAGGCCTTTGAGCTTTCTCATGTATTTCTATACCCTTGAATTCTCTCATTGGCATCTTCATCTGTAAAAATCCTAAGTGCCCTTTAAGGCAGGTATTGCAAACTCAAATGCATATAGGGTCTAATCAGGTACCATAAATAGTCAGGTTGATTTGGGTGAAAATTGTGGGGAACTAAAGAGCACTACCCTGTCTAAAATACCCCAACAACGCTTTGGCATGAGCCAGTTATTACCAAGACGAATGTGGGCCCAGTGTTGCCAGATCTTTCAGTTTTACAAAGGAAGTTAGAAATCTATATTCATATATAAAGTCTGATTTTAAAATGTTAACGATTAATGTGAAAAATGTTTAAATACTGCAGGTCAAATAAAAACATCTGTAGACTGGATTTGGCACTCAAAATCCCAGTTTGTGGCCACTGTTCTATGCTTATTTCAGATACTTTGTCTATGTTATTCCCTTGTCTAGCAGATTTCTTTCTCTTGTTCTTTTAACATTTTGTGTATTCCTCAATGCTGCTTCCAAGCTGTCTTAGTTATTAATATGTCTCTTTTTCTAATACCTTATAAATATTTTGATGGCATGGATTGGCATCAAAATTCTGCACTTAGTATATATTGATACAGAATATGTGCTTATACATACCTAAGGTCTCATTGTGTGTATATGTATGTATGTGTGAGATACTTTTATTTCTCCCCTGGTGATATTTGTTTATCCTGGAAACCAGCATCTGTTTTTTGTAAAAACACCAATAGTATCTTGGCTGTAATTGCTATACTTCTGGAAGGAATTGAATTGGTTAACATTGCTTTTCAAAAGCTGGTCTGATGTAAATCCTGTATGATGGCTTAAATTTCATAATCTCTGAAAGATTGAGGTAGGAATGATTAATAACTAATAAGATTTTAAAAAATGATAGCCAGTAAAAGGAAAAATTGGTAAGTTGGACCTCATCAAAATAAAAAACTTTTTCTTTGTGAAAGACCCAATGAAAAGAATGAAAAGATAAACTACAAAGTGGGATAAAATATCTGCAAACCATATATCTGACAAAGGACTTGAATCTAAAATATAAAAGGAGCTCTCAAAACTCAACAGTAAAAAAAAATCCAATTATAAAATGAGCAAGAGATACAAATAGATATTTCACTGAAGAGCATATACAAATGGCAAATGAGCACATGAAAAGACGTTCAATATCATTAGTCATTAGAGAAATGAAACTTAAAGCCACAATGAGGTATCATTACACAGCTATGAGAATGGCTCAAATAAAAAATAACACCAAATGCTGATAAGACTGCAGAGAAACTAGATCACTCATACATTGCTGGTGGGAATGTAAAATGGTCCAGCTACTTTGGAAAAGAGTATGGCAGTTTATTATACGATAAATATGTACCAGTGATTGCACTCTTGGCCATTTATTCCAGAGAAATGAAAGCTTACGTTTCTATAAAAACTTGCACATGAATGTGCATGCTGTTTTGTTTGTAATAGCCCCAAACTGGAAACAGCTCAGATAGTCTTCAGAAGGTAAATAGTTAAACAGATATATCCATGCCAAGGTATACTACTCAGCAATAAAAAAGGAGAAGCTATTGATACATGAGCAACTTGGATGAGTCTTGAGGGACTTATGCTGAGTTAAAAAAGTCAATCCCAAAAGGTTACATAGTCTGTGATTGCATTTATATAACATCTTAAAATGACAAAATTTTAGAGATGGAGAACAGGTCACTGGTTGCTATGGGTTGGGAGGAAGATGAGATGTGGCTAATAAGGTAACATAAGGGATCCTTGTGATTGAACTGTTCTATATCCTGACGTGATGGACACAGAAACTGTACATGTGATAAACTTTCATGGAACTAATTAACATAAAGAAATGAGCACATGTAAAATGGATGAAATCTGAATAGGATGAGTGGATTGTATCTATCAATATCCTTTTTGTAATATTATACTATAGTTATACAATTTGGTGCCATTGGGGAAACTGAATCAAGGGTATATCAGATTTCTCTTATTATCTCTTACACCTGCATGTGAATCTATGATAATCTCAAAAAGTTTAAACAAATAACTTAACCCCCCAAAGCCTATATAATTGTTTTTCTTGGGCTTTTATTTTACCAGACAATGATCTAATCATGTCGGATAAAGATGATACTGAGACTCCAGTGATAACTGAAGCAACCTCCGTCCTTGAAGATGGGAGCTCTGAGCCAGCCAAGAATTCCAAGTCTGTTGACCGAAGTACCAAGCCAGAGAGTAAACCAGAACCTGTAGTTTCTACTCGGAAAAGACCAGAGTCCAAACCTTCCACTGACCTTGAGACTTCAGAAGTTCTCTCTGTTCAGGCATCACAGGCTGCAGGCAAAGTAGGGTATCTATTAAAAATTGATATTAAAAAATGTTAGGTTTAAAAAGAATTTGGAATCAATACTATTTCTTTCATAACCATAAAACATAATTTTCTTAGTTTTATAGATGCCTTTACGAGTAGTTGCCTTTGCTCTGTGGTGCTTACATATAGTTTACATACGTATGTCATTCAAGTAACACATTTCTTTAGCCAAATAATATGTATTTGTTCACTTATACTTTTGGCTAATAATTAGATACCTTGTCCATACACTCTTATTTTCCTCTTATTTTTCCATTTTCCTTTGCTTTTTTTCCTGACTAATGGGAAAAATAGGAAACTGTTTCCAGAGATGAACCCCAGACCAGTTGGGGCTATTGGGGCAGATGGGGCAAGTCCTTGCTCTCCTCGGCTTCAGCTACAGTTGCTACAGTAGGTAAGGTCATCAGTTATTTTATTAATTTTTATGTGTATTTAGCTACAGATCTGTGTTAAAAGTGATTTTGTTTATTTCTCTTCCATGTAGGATGCATTAATAATGACGGGCTGATTTAGTCTGCCACTAGAGTTTGCATTTCTTACTTAGAAGGTTGATGTTTAAGAATTGTTAATATAAAACTCTTCTTTGGTGATAACAAATACTTTTTTTTTCTTTTGGTAGAATGCAATCCCAAAGGTTATATGTGGTCAAAATAACATGTCCTGTGGCTATCACAAAATAAAAAATCTGTGGGTTTGATTTTTGGTTTGTTTCTTCAGTTGTGGTGACTAATAGCAAATGATATTCAAATATAAAAATGTTATCATTTTTTTATCCTTAGGACAAGGTATTTCAAATGTCATTGAAAAGGCAGAGACTTCTCTTGGAATCCCTAGTCCCAGTGAAATTTCAACTGAGGAGCAATATGCAACAGGTTAGTATATGGAAACATTAAGACCTAGAATTATGGCTAAAACCGGAATAGGCGAGCTCATTTTTTTAGTCGATATTTATTGAGTGATATTCAGGGCATGATAGGACTGGTGAGAAAGGGAATTTAGAATCTTGGCTGACAGGGGTCTGTGTCCTTTTAACCACTCATGTGTCTCTATTTCACTTTCCTCATCTATGAAATGGGATATTTTCTATAATAAAGGACTGTTAAAACATTAAATAAGGCCATGAACATAGAATGTAAAAATTGGCTATCATTTTGCTTGGCACAATTAAGAGTTCAATGTCAGCTGAATTTGAATATCGTGGTATGAAAAAATATTTTAATATGTTAGTTTTGGGGTTGTATTTTTTGTGTTTGGAATTTTATGAAGTTGAAGTTTAATTCTGGAGGCCTGCCTTAATCAAGTAGAAACATACTCACTTAAGCCATAAAGGACAGAGTTATAACAGGGGTTAACAGGGTCTGGAACCACAAAATAAAAAGCTTTTCAGGGCCTGAGTTTGCTTTTTCCATCTCTCAGGGACTTTATTGTCTCTCCCTCTTGCTTCTCTCTGCTCATCTGTTATTTTTCCAACTTATAAGAACTCTAGAAGTAGGCCGTTCTTGAGTTACTTTAGTGGCTCATTGATGTCAGAGTTCTGTGCTGGCTGCAGTTTTCTTTGTTGTCTCTATGGTTGCCAGATGATACTGCGGCTCTAAGTGTATTGTTCTAATACAGCTGTGCTCAAAGTCAGGCATTAAGTAGATGGGAAGTGTCATTGCTCCTCGTGTATCTCTTCCTTTAAAGAGAGGAAAAGTTTTCTCAGCAACTCCCTGCATGTTTCTTAGATTCCATTGGCTAGAATAGGGTCTTACGTTCATGCTGTAGCAGCAAGAGATGCTGGGAAAGCACGCTTTGGGTATTTTGATAAACCTCCATATCAGGAAGTGGGTTTAGCAAGCAAGGAAAAGGGGATTAGAATCGGCTTTGAATAGGTAAACAGCAGTGTTTTCCACAAGACCTAAAAGATGTCTACTATACAAGTATTTTAAGAAGGACATAGAAAAACTAGAGTGAATTCTGAAAAGAGTTAGCTAGATAGTAAAATATCAAGAATTAATGTTTCACAAGAGGAAATTGAAGGCATCATGGATATGAAGTCTGGAAGTCTGGAGAATGTATTGGTTCTTTTCGTGTCTCTTCGTACCATGGCGAAGAGGACTTACATTTATTTGTGGCTCATGAAGAGAGACCATTGAAAGTTACATGCACTTAGATTTTAGTTTAATTAAGAGTTTTTAAGGGTTAAAAGAGTTATTTAAAAAACTGCAAAATTAGAATGGAAAGCTTTAGGATAATAAACTCCCATCTTCTATATTTCCTGCGGAGGCGTATCAATTCCCCTGCGAAGAATGTTATAGCTTGTCTTTTCAAGGATGTAAGTTTTGTTTGGCAGGCAATTAAGATATTTGTAGCTTAGATTGATCCTTTTAAGTCTTATTTTTAAGCTTCTTTAGAATGAATCTGGAACAGCCTTTACTCTTAAGTGCTAGTTTAGCCCTACTGCCAAGGCCACTGTCCCTTCTAAGGTCTCCACCTAATTCCCAGATGTTTAGGTCTCTCTACTTAGTTAGTCAGAAGTCATATGTCTTTCAGCCTAGCATGAGCTTTGGGCACTGTTTAGTTTACAGCTCCATGTTAGTTCTTTGCCCAGTATTGTGGAATCTTCCAGTGCATGAGCATCTAACTTAGTATTCAGCCAGAGATTCAAGGTCACTCCTGTGTAGATTCCTAGAACTCTTTACCTCTCTAGCTCCCTCGTCTTCAGTACTCCGACCTGCAAATTCCAGGTGCTTCAGCTTTCCTGGACTCTAGTCTCTGTCTCTTCCACTTACTGAGATTGCCATGCTCTGCTTGGGTTTCCCCTCCCTGTGCTGTTGTCTGGAATGCTAAGCCAATCATAGAGTTCTTTTGTTTCTCTTCTTTCCTGGATCATAGCCTTGTACTAGCTGTTGTCCAATGTTGGCAGGCAGTTATTGCTTATATTTTGTCCAGTTTTCTAGATGCTATGGTAGAAAGGCAAGTCCAATACCAGTTACTTCATCATAGCTGGCAGTGGAAATCCTCCCTATAATAGTTATTTGTTGATCTCTTATAAGAGATTTCAAAGTTAATAAAATAGATTTTTTTCAACGAAACATACTCATTTTTGTAATGCATATCTGATTTTTATAAATAAGCATAGTTTTCTAGGATAAAATTTAAAATAGGCTGAATTTTAAAAAGTTAGGTTTATTGAGCTGTGATTTACATACAGTAAACCTTACTCTTTTCAGGTGTGTCGTTTTATGTGTTTTGACAAACAGTCCTGTTTATACTGTATAATCATAGTCCGTTGTGATTACACAGATAGAGAAAATTTCCTATATCTATATCGACAGTCAAGATACAAAAATATTTTCAGTATCCCCTCCAAAGTTCCTCATGCCCCTTTGTAGTCACTCCCCTCCACCTACTCTCAGCTCTTGAAAACTAGTCATCTGTTTCTGACCCTATGGTTTTCTTTGTCCAGAAGATCATGTAAATGGAATCATACAGTATATAGTCTGTTGATATATATGTATGTATGTGTGTGTGTATCTGTATCTCTCTCTATGTATAGTTTGTTCAAAAGACTGGATTTTATTTCTGGAATGAAATGAAAATGAAAAAAGACTATCTTAGCTTTCATTTTAAAATAGGCAAATAGTTTAAAATAATAAAACAAAAAGCACTAAGTAAGGCCTTGTGTGTGGGAAGCAGGGTCTAATTTTTTAAAAAAATTCACACAGATGCTAATAAAGTAAAACTATCTATGGGCCTTCTGTTCATGTCTGCACATTCTCTCCCTCCTGTAGGAGAGACAAATGCCAAAGAGAATGAAAACTTCTCCTCAATGACTGGACCATTTGGTGTATTCTCGACTATCTCCACTGCTGTTCAGAGCACAGTGAGTAAAAAGTGCAGAGTGGTCTATTCGCTTCCATGATTTTAATGTGTTTTTGTCTCTTTCTCTCTCTTTTCTTTGAAAAGCCATAGAGACTGATTACTCTTATGGCAGTTCAAACTGCTGAAGATCAGTCACTGACCTTAGAGGTAGAGAGAGAGCTACTTGAAAACTTTCTTTAAAGAACTAAAGGTGAGGTCAGGAGGTAAAGAGTAACAGAGAGACAGTGTACATAATATTTTATGGACTAGGAGTTCTTAGTTTGGTGGCCCTAAAAACTTCTCTGCTTTACAAAAATATTTTTCTCATAATTGCGTTTTTTAAGCAAAGGGGAAATATGATATTTATGATAAATATTTGCGAAATTATGGATGATTAGAAACATTTTAAAGGATGTACAAGAAGCTTAATATCTTTTCTACATGAGGACAAATAGCTAGTACTTCTTAATTTTAACTTTTTATTGAAATATAACAAATATACAGAAAAGTAAAATCCTAAGTATTCAGTTTGAATTTCCACAACATGAACACATTCAGATTAAGAAGCAACATGATGGTACATCAGATGTCCCCTCTGTGCTGTATCCCAGTCATCTGTGCCTCCCGCTCTTGCCTACCAAGATAACCACACTCCTGACTTCTACCATCATAGATTAATTTTGCCTGAACTCATACAGAATGTACTCTGTTGTATCTGGCTTTCACTCAACATTATGTTTCTATGATTTATGCATGGTGAAGTTTGTGTGGCATGTTCCATTTTCCTTGCTGTATTCCATCATGTGACTGTGTCACATTTATACATTCCACTATTGGTGAGTATTGGGAAGTTTCCAGTTTTTAGCTTTTACAAAGAGTGCTGCTGTGAGCATTCTTATACGTCCTTTGATAAACGTCAGTACAGCTGTCTGTTGAGTACATAACCACATGTGGAGTTGCTAGGTTATAGGATATTCATAGATTCAGCCGTAGTAGAGAAGTGCTTATATCAGTTTATATTCTCACAAGCAGTGGATGATTGTTTCCGTTGCTCCACCTTCTTGCCAGTGTTTGGTATTGTAAGCTATTATTTTATATAATCAAAACACAGATGTCTTTTTTTCCAATATTATTGTAATGATCAGTGGGGGTTTGGATGCCTTAGAATTCATTGGGAAAAAGACAATGGATGTAATAGCAGAAGGGGATCCTGGATTTAAAAGAACCAAGGGTCTGATGAACCGGCATTCTACACTATCTCAGGTACTATTTATCTTTACCTGTTTACTTCTTGTTTCTGTTTTGATCTGTGTTTTTGCCTGTGGGAACTTGGGCCTTTGTTAGTGTTTCCTTTTGAAGAAATTTCAATGATCTTTTTAAAGTAAGGCTTTTTTTTTTTTTTTTTGGAGGGTGTAGGTGGGACAGTGAGAGCTCTAATACTTAGAAAAATGCCTAGTTTATTTTTCTTTTCTTTTTGCAGGAAGCTTCTGTCAGTGCAGTACAAGATGCCAAGCCCTTTCATAGTTGTTTATTAGATTAATGTTTAAACCATTTCCAGAGAAACACCTGGTTTCTGGGGTGTTATTTACCCTGTCTAGAATAAAATTATGTGTGATCATTTATTTTTCCCTGCAGTTCCTGAGGCTATCACATTTGAATTGCAATGCCAAAAATGAAAGAGCTATACTCTGTGCTGTTACCCATCTTAGCTTTGCCTTTCTCAACTCTCAAAACTCACCATTGAACTCTTCATTACTGCTGCAGTTTAATAACTCCATCTCTTTTTCAGGTTTTACGAGAGGCGAAGGAGAAGGAAGAGCAGTGGACCTCCAATGAGGTTACCGTAGACATGGACAAGAAAACTCACTATGGTCTACTATTTGATGAATTTCAAGGCCTTTCACATCTAGAAGCTCTGGAGATGCTTTCCAGGGAAAGTGAAATAAAGGTAATTTCAGAACAATTGTAACTGGAATAGTCTCCAAACAAAGGAATGCTGCCTAGTTTCTTTTTGTACTGTTGGAAGATGAAATGTATTTCAGAGGAAGGCTTGAGACTATGAAAATATGCCAAAACGAACAAACAAACCAAGAAGCTATTTGAAATAATTACTAGAAATAGAATGAGTTAAGTGTTATTTCTCTAAATTTAAACAAAAAGAGATTAACAAAGAGGTCTTAATAGCACATTTGTTATTTTTTCTTCACCTTGGTTTTTTTAGTTTCTTTGACTTAAGTTGCCAGTTTGGATACAGTTACCTGTTAGCTTTTAATTGATTCAAGACTATTTCATTTCCCCCCTAATTTCTAAGCCCTTATTAAGCACTAATAATTTCCAGACATTTCTGGCTTGTATTATTTTTGGAAGTACGAATTCTGCCTTTCTGTAATGAGCAGAAGTGTGGTCTGGATCTTTGTGTTAAGATTCTTAAGGAATACTTGTGTTGGTTGGTGAGCTCATAATTTTGATTTTAACTTGATATACAGCCTCTTCTTTATTTGAGAATCTTTTTTTTCTTTCATACTCCCACGACTTTTTATTATTTTATATTATGTTGATTCAGGTGAAATCTATCCTTAGTTCTTTAAGTGGAGAAGAATTAGAGACGCTAAAACTTGAATTGGAGCAACTGAAAGAAGCATTTTCCTTAGCAGAGTTCTGTGAAGAAGAGGAAGAAGAGAAAAAAGGTAATATGAAAACCTAGCATCTGAGTGGGAAGGATTGTGCAGTGTATTGCTCTTAAAATAAATTGTTTTCTCTCCAGTTATACTTGCCCAATTTTACTTTTTTCATGGAGAATTTTCATGCAAAATTCTCTACTACTTTGTACCTGACTAAGCATTGATGTGAGCAGGTAGCCTTATGTGCATGTTTCCCCACCCTCTTCACTCCCCTACCCCAAATTCTTTGTGACTTCTCCAAGTCTAATCTTGCAACTCACATCTCTGCCTGCTTTTTCAGTTAGAGAGCTGCCCTTGTCAGATTCCTGTCTCAGTCTGGCTGGTCATCCCTATGAGATTTATATCCCTAGGTACTGCTCTCATGCCTCTCTGGCTCCTGCGACCCCTGTCCTCATCTTGAATCGAAGCATGCAGGGTGGCAGTTATCCAAAATGTGGGTGATAGTTGGTCTTTTTCATTTTTGAAAGTTGTTTTTTTATGCCATATTTTTAAGATCTGCATACCTCAGAAAATGTAAGTGTAATAACTACTCATTTTTTCAAAATTATCAGGAATTTAATGGTTTATATAAAGCATAATTTCCAGGCAACTGAATCTTAAGCTTTGAGTTACTTTATGTTAACATTTTAACTGGATGTATTTCTAATATATATTACACACCGAATAGATTTTTTCTTTTTAGTAGAACATAGTGAATACAGTTTTGCCTTTTTTTCGATGAAACAATCAGTTATAAACATTAAAAGTCAATTGAAAAATTCTTTCAGAGTCTATCAAGACATATAGGATCAATCACTCATGTGGTAAATTTTATCAGTGATTTGAAAAGTATGGTCTGTGGATCCTTGGCTCTCCAGGACCTCTTCAGGGAGTCCATAAGTCACAGCTCTTTTCTAAATACCAAAATATTATTTACTTTTTGTTTGTTTGTTTGTTTGTTTTGACATTTGCACTAAGGATACAAAAAGAGTGGTGAATAAAATTACCAGTGCCTTAGCACAAATCAGGACAGTTGCACCGAACTATACTGATATTATATTTTCACTGCATTCACAATAAAAAAAAAAAAAAAAAAAAGGAAAGAAGTTGACAGTTTCGTTTACCCTGTCCTGATGAAACAGTAACAGTTATTAATTTTATTAAATCTTGACCCTAGAGCATACTTTTTCATTTCTGGGTGATGCATACTGAAGTTATCTCAAGGAAAAGCACTTGTATTGTCTGTGTTGTAAGCTGAATTACCTGTTTTTTTTTTTTTTCTTTCATGAAATACCATTTTTATTTTAAAAGATTACAGTCACACAGGCTATTCAGAGAAGAATATTTAGTAAACATTTTCTTGAACGAAGTGTGCCTTCACTTCAAGGAAAACAACTGAACAGTATTTGTGACTGATGAATTGCAAACTAAGCAAAGTTAGGATTTTGTAAAACATATTTTCTACTGTGGTGAGCTTGACAGCTTCCCAGTGCTTACAGATTTTTCCAGTCAAATCCGTGGTGAGAATAACAAATTTGATCTTTTGGAGATATTACATAATGAAATGTGTTAGCATTTAGAAGATCTGAATAACTCCAAGAATCGGTATCTTCTAAATGACTAATATGTGATGTTATAAAATCATGGCCAAAAGATAGACTGATAGATTTTAATTTACTGTAAATGAGTTCAAAATTTCATGATATGAAATTTCAAATTCTACATTGCAACTAACTTTTAAGAAATAAAGATTCGTTGAGTTTTGGTGTAGTATTAAAGAATATCCACAATTATCTGAAAAGGCTATTAAAATAGTTCTCTTTTTTTGAACTATGTATCTTTGTGAGCATGGATTTTCTTCGTGTACTTGAAGAAAATGACATATCATAACAGATTGAATGTAAAAACAGATCAAATAATCCAACTGTCGTTAAGCTAGACATTAAAGTTTTGCAAAGATCTAAAACAGTGGCAGTAATCTCACAAAAAATTTTTTTTTTGAAAAATAATTATTTTTCTTAAAATATGTGTTATTTATGTTAAGTAGTGGGCTCATTGTTTTTAATGAATTAATATCTTAAACATTTCAGTTTTAATTTTTAATATGATAAATATTGATTGACATATAATTTACATTAAAAAATACTCTTGGGGTTCTCAAACATTCTAAGAGTATATAGGGGTCCTGGGATCAAAATGTTTGAGAACTGCTAGATTAAGTTATCCTAAACTGCTATACTTTTAAAAATGTCTCTAGTTGTTTTTTAAATTGTACATCTTTATTTCCTTTTGTGCATTTATCTGCCCATTTTTAAATTATCTTCACTATCATTGAGCTTGCTTCTGATAATACCCTAAAATAGGATTTTTTAGAGAATGAGATAAAAGTCTATAAATTAAAGTTCCATTTTTCCCCTGCACTCTATTGGATTATTTTGTGAACCTCTTGGGGTACATGCATCTCAGTATGGATTTAGATTATTGTACCCACATAATTTTGAGCTTAGCTGAGGTTTTAGATTTTTAGATAGTAGGATATGATTAGAAGTTGTTTAGATGTGTTATGTCAGTTACAATAGTATTATTTAGTGAGATTAGCTTTTCCCAAACCATATTATACCTGGGGTCACTAAACCATTTGAATTTTCTACCTTGAATGCCAAGAGGGAAGGACAAAAGAATAGCAGATGAAGAGAGAAGAGCCAAGATAGAGTTTTTTTCTCTAAGGATTTTGGGTAGAAAGCAGGTATGAAGCAGTAATAATCTGCCCTGATAAACCATAAAGTAGTGACTGAGAAGTACTCATGCAGATTGTTAATGCTGGATAATGTTGTGCACAAAAGTTCTCTCTGCATTCTGTGGTGCAATGAAGCCTTTGGCTGGGCTTCAAAGGAGACATTGAATAGGATTTAGATGCATAGGGAGGAAATGAGAGCATTTTCTGCCATTTATTTATATGTGTTGATCGTTTTTTGATCTTGACTTGCTTATTTGCATGTATGTTTCTCAAATATGAGTATTCTGTGTTCCCCGTCATCTCCCACCAGGCTTATTCCAACAGCTTCCTTACCATCCTTCCAACATTCTGTAATTCTTTTTCCTCTTATCCTGGATCCTGGGTTATTGCCTTAGCCTTCCAGCCTCAGTTCTTGTTTCCCTTTCAGTCCACCCCCCACCCTAGGAGCCAAAGTGATCTTCCTAAAATTTAAATTGAATGTATCTGTCTCTTTAAAATCATTCAGCAGCTTCTCATTCTCTTAATAAATTTGAATTCTTCACCATGGTTTATTTCCTCTATTACCTGGATTTTATTTTCCTTCCTAGCTTCATTTTACCCCACTTCTTTTCTTTACATTAAAACACTTCCAACCATGTTAAACCTCTTGCCATGCATTCTTTCACTTTAGATCTTTTACCTCTTTTCTCTGGCTGAAACTCTTCCATTCTCCTGGCTGACTAACTGTACTCATTTATGTGCCAAATTAAGTTCTTCTTTGGAAACACATGCATGGTGTCAGCTTAGGACTCTGCCTTTACCAGTTCTCCATTTTTACTTCTAGGATGTGATACAAAGAGCACAGGATTTAGAATGGGGGTGGAAAGGTTAAGGTTTGATTCCTAATTTGTTATGAGATTTAGAGGAAATAATCTCTTCAAGCTCTAATTTCTTCATCTCTAAAATGGAATAATGACACTCTTCTTATAAGCCCATTGAAAGAATTCACTGATAAGTATACCTAACAGGATTATATAAGCACTAAAGTACCATGCTCATATAAATCATGCTGCTGCTGTTATTACTACCACCATTCCTCTCCTTGTCCTTTTCTTGTCTCACCCCTGCTGCCCCGATGATCCTCACTGGTCTTTTTGCAGTGTTTTACATGGGATTTTTTTTTTTTTTTCTTAGAGGATGAAGACTTTACCAAAGAGATAACAGAGTTATTTTCCCAGCTGCATGTCTCCTCCAAACCAGAGAAACTTGCCAGGGTGAGTTATTACTTCTTTGTGATGTTCTTTTTTTTTTTTTTTTTTAAACTTGTGTGGGTTTAGTGAAAAAAGAAGGTAAGATTGTAAATTCCTGGCAAGAATGTCATTGAAATTGAGGGCATATTCTGAGTTCCATACCTTCTGCCTGCCTCCTGCTCTCACGGGTTAAAAAACTGAACTCACAATGGCAACCCCTATTCCTTCCCCTGGAACATATGCATCTCTCATCCTTACTTGTTTTTGTTTGGAATGCTTTGCTTGTCTGAAATCTTAAATTAAGCCACAGCATTGGTTAGCTTAAGTTGGAAGTACTTACCAGGTTTCATGGTACCAACGGGCTAGCTACTGTCCTTAGAGCTCTGAATGTTTCAGAGATAATGGGATGTGGCCCCTGGTCTTAGGAAGCTGGAGGTTGCCATTTCCTAGAGCCCAATGACTCAGTTAATGACCATTTAGCTTGTAGAAATGGGAGTCTCTTGGCCTAGGCCTTGGTCTTAGGTGGTGATGCTTGAGCTGTCTTTTTATACATGCAGAACATGGAGAGACTTTAGTCAAAGATCAGAGTGGGTAGGGAGGGCCTGTTTCCAGAGCAGTGTCCACATAGCATATATGCCAGTGCCAGCTCATGGGTCTTGGGCTGCTTGCTGCCTCTTCGCCCTCCTCTCCCAATCTCAAGAAACATTTCAGTCCAGTTAGCAGCAGGCACACATTACTTCCTGGCCAGGGAGTGCTGATAGCCATTATATAGTCATCACAGTCATAACCTTCTCCTGCATACTGCACGGTAAGGAATGTGATGCTTGAGTGATGCTATCCTACTCTCCCATGCCCAGTAAAAATGCTGCATTCTCCAAGGAAGCTTTTCACACCACCCACCAGCTGCTCATCTCCCTCGTCTCAGCTGTAGCACTTTACTACAGTACTTTCTAGCTTGTATCATTGTATTTTTGTTGTGAAAATAATATTAAACTTAGAGAAAAGTAGCAAGAATAGTACAAACAACATTCATATACCTTTTATACTAGTGTACCTATTGCTAAACACTTCATTTGCTTAAGCATTTGTGTTTATGCATGTGTTCTCTCTTTCCTTCCCCTATCCCTTCTTCTCCCCTCCCCCCATCCCCAGAACACGTGCGCGCGCGCGCACGCGCGCACACACACACACACACACACACACACACACACACACCCTACGTCATTATTATTACTAATGGGTCTGTTTTTGAGAGTAAATTATAAACATTGTAGCCCTTTACACCTACATATTTTAATACATATCTCCTAAGAATATGGATATTCCCTTACCTAATCACAGTATTTACCAACTGCAGTAAATTAAACATTGATACCAGACTTTACTGTTATCCACATTCCAGTTTTGTTAGCTGACCCGATGATGTCCTTTATATCAAATTTTTTCTCTAACTTTAGAGCCAGTATATGATCACAGATTGTATTTAGTTGTTGTATACTTTTAGTCTCTTTTAATCTGGTATTAAAAGTTCCTCAGTCTTTGTCTTTTATGATATTGACATTTTTGAGAAATACAAGCTCCTTCCGTCCTTTATAAAAACATTATTTCTTATTTGGTGTTCATCTGATGTTTTCTCATGATTACATGTACAGGTTATACATTCTCAGCCAAAAGACCTCATAAGTGATGTATCCTGCCCATGGTATCACATCGAGGGGCACACGATGTCCATCTGCCCCTTATTGGTGGTGTGCTATCTGATTTTTCACCGTATAGTTATGTTTTTTTCCTGTGCTAATAATAAGTTTTCTTTGGGGAGACATTTTAAGATCATGCAAATATCCTGTTCCTCATCATAATTTCCTTCTTAGATTTAGCATCTATTCATGATTCTGCTGCACCAGTCTTTACCATGATGGTTGCAGGATGATGATTTGTTTCAACCCTAGCACGTGCTCCATTGGCTTAAATATTTAAGCATAAAGGACTGTAATGTTGATAATTACCAATTGGCTGTCTGCATTCTACTGCAGTTAAGACAGCCTATCTCTGCTTCCTTATTTCTTTATAGAGATCTCACAGATTTCTATTTTTCCCCCATTGGTTTATAATTTACTGTCCCTAATTTGGCGTTCAAATTATCCTTCTGGCTGACTACTGTTTAACATCCCCCTGTCATTTTTTGAATTTTTTTATTTTCTGTCATAACAAGATATTCTAGACTCATCTTGTACCTTCTACATTCTAACCCTATAATCAGCCATTTCTTTGAGGAGCCATAGTTCCTTTTTGATATCACAGACCAAAATCTGGATGATAGATATGCTCATTGCTACTGGGATGTCTTTGCTTCTAGGCCCTGTAGGTAGAGCTAGGAAATATATTCAGGAACACATACGCACACCTATATGTGTATACATATAAATGAGTGTATGTATATGTGAATAAATGTACACATGTACACACATACATATTGTAGAGATCATGAATTCATCCCTACAGGATTCTCCCTTGTCTTTTCCCATTACACAATTGTTTTTCTGTTCTTCCATAGTAAGAACCCTGCCTCCCAACAACATTAGAACATTTCCTTATTTTCTCAGTCCAGTAATGCATTTGAAACGGTTTCATTGCTTTGCCTTTGGTACTGTAAAACCAACCTACAAAAAGAATTTGTGATTTATTTGCTGTCTCCCTATGTTAATTTAATTTTGGGGTATATAGAATATTAACATGTTTCCAAAAATAAAAACTACAAAAATAGAGAAGTGTCACTCTCTCCGAGTTCCCGTTCACACCATTCTCCCCTTTTCTTTTAGGTTTACACTTTCTTGTATATCTTTCCTGAATTTTTTTTTAGATAGGCAGATACTATTTTAAAGATAAGCAGATATATTTTCTTATCTCCTTATACAAAAGTTAACATGCTATATATATATTTTTAGCACTTCGATTTATTCATTTACCCTTCTACATATGTATTTTCATAAATTTATCATAGGTTTATTTTTAATTTTTTTATAAATGTGTGTATCTTACTTCCTGTCCTAAATTTTAAATTTCTTCAAGGCTGGATCTGTGCATAATTGGTCCTTAAAATCCCACCACTACTATCTTCCACTTTCTCCGTGGTCTTGAGCAAGTTACTTAACCTCTCCATGCCTCAGTTTCTCTGTTAGGTAGGATTTAATGTGTTGATACACACAAAACTCCACAGAGTACCTGGCCCATAGTAAATGCTCACCATTGGTGGTCTTATAGAAGCTAGCACAATGTATTATACAGTAAGTTTTCACTTAATGAAGTTGATAGATTCTGCAACTTTAAGCAAAACAATGTATAATGAAAACCAGTTTTACCATAGGCTAATTGATATAAACAAAAGTTAAGTTTCTATGGTATCTCATCAACGTTATAACATTGAATGAAATGACATTATTCAAGGACCTGCTATATATATTTTTTAATGTACATGTGTTCAATAAGCCTTTATTTTGCTAGGTTCTAGGGAAACAGTACTGAAAAAGACTGTGCTCAAGAAGATAATAAATTATTTTTAAAGGGCTAGTCACCCTTTATTTATCTGGTAGCTCTAGCCATTTTCTGAAAGCAATTTTCATACTGTTTATATTTTGGACATTGAGACTTAAGATATAGAATGATTAAGGACCAGGGCCTGATTATTCCTAAGGATTTATATGGTAAGTATGTGTGATGTAAGGGAAAGCAGTGAAACAGGAGTCTGAGAACAGTTATGATTCTTATTCTGACCCTCACATGTAATGTGGGAAAATCTCATTTTTTTTCTCTAGGCCTCATTTTTTTTTCCACTGGAAAAAAATAAGTGGTTGAAGAAGCTAAGAGCAAAGGCACTATTTAATTCCTAAGTCTCCAGATCTTACCAATGGGAAGTTCCAGGCTGAATTCTTGGTGGGGGGTGGGTAGCATTGAAATTTTTTTGAAAGGGATGATAAATTACACTGAGTTGGCACAGTAGACCATAATGACTTCACTTAATGTATTTATTACCAGAGAGGTCATTTCAGTATGCACTATGCCAGCTGAAATATCTCCAAGTATATTAAATTTATGGTATCAGTTTTCTTTTTGTTTTATATGGCCTTATCTCTGTCCATTTTTCTTTTTTTAATCTCAGATAAATCAATCTCTGGTTTTCCTCTCATTTTATCTTTTCAAAGAAATTGTAGAGAATTTCACAAACTGTTTCTACTTATGATTCCTTCCAGCCTCATCTCTCATTTTTCTATAAAAATCTCATCACTCCAACCTCATCTTCTATCATGCTTCTCCCATATTGTCTTTCGTTCTGTCCTTTAAATACACCAACCTGATTTCTCTCTGAGTACAATTCTCATTGTCTAAATATTGACATAGCTGACTCCTTTTAAACTTCAGATTTCAACTCAAATCTTACTCTTCGGAGACCGTTCCTGACCACTCAAAGTCTGCTTTCTATTCACCAAGTCCATACTTTCCATTATTTCATTTTATTTTCTTCACACACATGTTTGCTTGTTAATTGTCTTTTTGTACTGGAATAAAGAACAGGGCCATAGTTTGTATTAGTTGCCATTGTATCCCCAGCACCTAGGATCGTATATAGTGCATATTTGTAATAAATGAATGAATTAATAAATACTTGTGCCCTATATGTACTGGTCTTGCTAGTTATCTCACAGTTTTCTTAACATACTTTGTGTGTTCTTGCTTCCAATTCTTTATATGGTTCATCGTTTGTCTGAATTTAAGAGTTTAATGTAGGAAGGTTATAGATCAGAACCAGGTTATTCCTGAGGGATTTTGTGGGAAGCTTTATTATAGGGGAAAGAACCTTGAAATGAATATCTGGATACATAGGTTTTGCTCTTGCTCATTTATGTTGTGGCCTTGGGGTATAGCCCCACCTATTGATCCTTAAAGGCTCAACCCCAATGCTATATCTGTAATACAACTAGTGATTCTTTCACTTCTCATTTGGAATACTCTCTGGATTTCCGTTGCCAGGTTACATCTCTGAATGCATTTTGTCTATAAGTTACTCAAGTGGATGCCTTCATTTAATGACAACAAACATTTTTTTAGAAACCAGGACTCACTCAGTTGGAAATGACAGAAACTTAAGTCAAAATGGCTTAAGAAAAAGGGGCATTTATTAGCTCAAACTCTCAAAGCAAGGGGCAAGACTGGCTTCAGGCATGGCTATCCACCCAGAAGCCTTTCCCCTCTCCATGTCTTGACTCTGCTTTCTTCTGTTAGGCTTCGTTCTTAGGGAAGCTTTTCCACATGGTGGTAAGATGACCTAGAAGCTTCAGGGTGACTTTTTCTAGTGAGTAACTCCAAGAGAAAGGAGACTTACCTTTTTTAGTAATTTTATTGGATGTCCTGAGGCTGGTGCCCATTGACCTGGCTTAGGTCACTGTTTCATTCATGAATTAGTCACTGTGCCAACTGGGAGATTAATATTCTCAGTAGCTGAACCTGAATCGTTTGCCAACCCTTGGAGCCAGAGGATGGAGCAACCCCACTCAAACCACATGAACTGAGAAAAATCTAGAACCTACTATCAAAAGAAAGGACATATGGAAGCTGGCTAGGTAAAAATAGTAGATGATTTCTGCAGGCACTGGGTGTGCAAATCCAAATGAGACACTACATTTATCTTATAATAATGTAGGTTATTTAGGAGATAGTCGTGTAATTAATTTTAGTGTATTTTGGTAAGTTCTAAGTTGAAAGGGTGCTCTGGGGACTGTGGACATACAGAGAAGAGTTGTTTAGGTGCTCAGTTTCCTGGAAAGCCTTTGAAAGTTACCTGGAAGAGATGATGTTTGGGTGGAGATTGAAAGGAATTAACAGCTGCCCTGATTTGGGAGAAAAAAAATGAAAGGGCATTCTGGACTAAGGGAATAGCATGAACAAAGAATAGGCACATTGCAGGTCATTATTATCAGATTTGAAAGTAGTTAAGAGATGAAGTGGTAAGAGATGAAGCTGGACATATAGATAAGGTCTGGGTCATGGGGACTTAAAATCATGTGAAAGAGCATGATCTAGTTGATGTGGAGTCATTGAAGGGAAGAGGAATGATCAGCTCTTGGCTTAGATAGATCACTAGTAGCATTATGGAGGATGGATTTACGATGAGCCAGATCAGAAGCGGAGAGACCAGAGTACTGTTGCCACAAAGTGGATCCGAACCCAAGTAGTGATAGTAGAGAGGAAGAAGAGAGACTGATTGGAGAAATATGTAGGGTAAAAATCAGACTATATTGGTGATTGATTGGAAAGGTAAGAATCTAGGATGGCTCACATATTTTGGCTTGGATGAATGGTATATGGGAAATAAAAGATAGAAAAAGACGATGAATTAAAATTTTGTACATGCCTATAGAGATACCTTGAGAATATCTTGATTCATACGTCCAGCAGGCAGTTGGAATGTGTTGTTTCAGGAGAGGTCAGTGAAGGAAATAAGGACTTAGGAGTCAGCAGCAGGTAGGGAATAGTTAAAATCACTGCAGTAGAATAGATGGACAGGAGAGGGAGTAGGGCGAGGAGAGAGCCAAGGCTAGAATTTTAGGTAATTCTGTTGTTTAAGGAATTGCCAAAGCAGTTCAGTACATACAGGAGACTGAGGAGGAATGTCATAAGGGGTGGGGGGAGAACCAGAAGAGAGTAGTGTTATAAAACTTAAAACTAGAAACAACCCACAGGTCCATCATCAGAATAGACAAATAGTGGTATATGAATAAAATGAAGTACTACACAGCAATACATAAGAACAAACTGCTGATATATGCAACTACATAGGTAAATCTAACAGGCAGTATGATGTGCATAAGAAGCCACACAAATTAGAACATACTTATGATTCCAT